CTCTCTCTCTCTCTCTCTCTCTCTCTCTCTCTTTCTCTCTCTCTCTCTCTCTCTCTCTCTCTCTCTCTCTCTCTCTCTCTCTCTCTCTCTTGCATGTGTGCGCAAGTGCATTCTGCCACGCTCTCTCTCTCTCTCTTCCCTCAACCATTTCCTTTCAACAGCCTAGGAGAGCTGGCCCTGCTTAGCAGCAACATTCCACTCAGGCATAGAGAAAATTGTTCCCAAAAGGGCCAAAACTGAACTCTGCAGTTTCCTACCTGGTTGGTGGCTGAATGGTGCACACATGCTCACTACTGAATAGCAGAAGTTTGAATTTCTGATGGGTCCAATAATGATAAGTGCTTACCCCCTCTTTTTTTTTTTCTTTTTTTTCCTCAGAGATTTTCAAACAGTTATCTCAAAGTTAAATCAGTTCAGTAAGTCTTGACAGGTCAAGATCCCACCGTTGACCTTCAGCATCTGCACCATTGGACAACTGATTGCCTGGGTAGGTTTGAAATGTTAATGGCTTAGAGTTCAAGGTTTAGGGTTGAGGGTTCAGGATTCAGCCTCATTCAGATTTATACACTTAGGGTTTAGGGTTTAGGGTTTAGGGTATATAAGGAATAAGGTACAGGGTTTAGGGTTTAGGGTTATACGAGGTTTAGGGTTTCGGGTTTAGGGTTATACGAGGTTTAGGGTTTAGGGTTTCGGGTTTACGGTTTAGGGTTATAGAGTTATGGGGGAAGTTACGGCAGCATTATAGCACATCCCACCAAACTGTCCTTACTACCAAGTTTCAGTTGGGACGGACAGATACAGGAGTGAGATTTGGGGTTAACAGAAAAAACCAAGTTGGGGGTAACAAACAGGCCAAGGTGGGGGTGAAAAAACTAACCTGAGTCCCCAAAGAGTGAAAGTAGGGATGTTGACAGGTATGCTTGCCCAAAAATAGCACGATATCCGAAGTTGGCAATGTCTGCGTAGATTCATTTGGATGGGCTGAGGCTCTGAAGGATTGTGCACTGTCTTATTAGAGTTCCTATTTTTCAGTCAGGCCTTCTCTTCTTTAATCATTTTATAAATCAGCCTCGGATTTACAACTTTTACTTGGGGGGGTGG